ACTTGTTGGCATGTCAAACATCTTGCCACATATTCAACAATTTTCTATTTCATCCTTTCCCCTAATAAACTTTCTTCAATTCTTAATGCATCTTGCTCGCAACCTGGATGAACGGAATAAGGTTTGACATGAGCCTTCCTTAGGATATCCTCTCATAATTCTTTTATTGTTGGATCTATAATCTACCATGGTAGTGCTTAATTCCATCATTATATATGATAAATTTAGCCTTATTTCCTTTGGCTACTTCCTTTTGAATTTTGATTAATTTAGCATCTAGTAACTGTTTTTCCTTGGTCCTCTCCTTCAAATATGGTTGTAACACCATTGCACCTAATAAACTATTATTGGCTCCTCTCGACATCATATATAATTGGAGCCTCTCTGTTTTTAATAATTTTAGTTTGTATAGCCACTCATGTTTTCCAACTCAAAGCATCTTGCCATGATATTTGCTTTACCTAGATGGTCATGGAAAGCAATTTTATGATTATTTAGCACTTCAAAGTCATCTTTTTTGCCTCATATTAAATTCCTTCCGAGTGAAGATATACCCGAGGCTTTTATGATCTATATAGATATCATATTTAATGCCATATAAGTAGTTTCTCCAAATCTTCAATGTAAAGATCATGGTTACTAGCTCCAAATCATGTGTGAAATAATTTATTTTGTAGTTTTTTAATTGTTATAAGGCATAGGCAATGACCTTCCATATTGCATCAAAATATTTCTAAGTTCGGCCTTTGATAGATCGATATAGATTATGAAATCTTTATTATTTGTTGAAAGGGCTAGAATCAATATTGTGGTCAATCCGAACTTTAGCTCCTAAAAACTCCTTTTATAATCATCACCCTATTCAAACTTAGCATTCTTTTTTGTTAACTTTCTAAGTGGAGTAGATATCTTTAAAAATCCCTTTATAAATTTTTGATAAGTAACTCGCCATTTTGAAGAAACTCCTAACTTCGGATAAGTTCCCTAATTGATTCCAATATTACATAGCTTGAACCTTACTAAGGTCTACCATGATTCCATCTTTGGAACAATCAGTCCAAAGAAAAATACTTGCTCAAACTAAAATACATACTTCTTGAATTTAGTGTATAATTTATGCTCTTACAAAGTCCGCAACGTCTTCATCAAGTGCTCTACGTGTTCCTCTTGCTCTTAGAATAAATCAAAATATCATGAATGAATACTATATCGAAGCTATTCAAATATTCATGGAAGACTCAATTCATCAAGTCCATAAATACGATTGTTGCATTGGCTAACCCAAATGGCATCACCATAAGTTTGTAGTGTCCATACCAAGTTCTAAAGGTCATTTTCTTCACATCTTCTTCTCTAACCCTCGATTGATGATATCATGATTGCAAATTAATCCTTGAAAACATCGAGCTTCCTCTCAACTAATCAAACAAGTTATCAATATAAAGAAGTAGATATTTATTCTTGATGGTTACCCGATTCAAGTCTTGATAATTAATGCATAACCATAGTGATCCATCTTTCTTCTTCATAAATAAAAAGGTTGCTCCCTATGGTGAATAACTAGACCAAATATAGCCTTTATCCAATAGGTCTTGCAATTGAGTTTTCAACTTTTTTAATTTCGCTCGGTGTCATTTTATGTAGTGCTTTAGAAATTGGGGTCGTTCCATATTCAAGTTCAATGTCAAACTCAATCTCCCTTTTTAGTGGCACTTCCAATAAACTTTTGGGAAAGACATTAGGGAAATCCCTCACTATATCAATGTCTTCTAATTTTGTTCTTTCCTCCTTTACAATATCTACTAAATTCACTAAGTAACTTATGCATCCGCTTTTAATGATCTTTCAAGCTATCATTGTTGAAACCATACTCACTAACTTTACCTTATTCTAGCCTATAACTCAAATGGTTGCTCTCTCGAATGTTGGAACACCATTTTCTTTGCTAAACAATCAATTGATGTATCATTCTTAGATAAGTAATTCATACCTAATTCATATTAAAATCCTAAATCCTTAAAGCCACTAAGTTAACTTTTAGGACGTTATCTCCAATTCGTAGCTCACAATCTCTAACCATATCCCTCGACTCCAATGTCTCTTCGATGAAAAAGCTACATCATATACTACTTCAAGAGCCTCGTGGTATCACTCCTAATTTTTTTAACAAAGACCATGATATAAAAGAATGTGTGACATTTGAATCAACTAGAGTATATGTAGAAGATCAAGGATCAAAACATTACCACATGATCGAGCATGCTCCTTTTCAGCTTGCTCTTATGTCATCATGTATATCCTTTCTAGAACTCTCTTTACAACCTTCATCTTAAGACAATCATTGGCTAAAGGCCATGCTTTTTGATAGAAGTAGCAAACATTAGTGCTAATCAAGAAATTTCATCCACATTTAATTTTAGTTTACCAAAGGGAGAAGGCTCCCACTTAATCCATTTCCCTTTGAGGACTTTTGGCTGAAATGGGACAATACCCAAGTCCCGTAGCTTCTTTAACCCATCTACATTTAGAGGGCTTTTTAAGACAAATAAGTTACACGTATCCCAAATGTTTACCATAACTCTTCTTATGATATCACTTACTCTCATTGGATCATCCTCATATTTTGATTTACATAGACTTTTCCATAGTTTCCATAAGACAAAATAAAAGGCACCGACTTGGCACATACTCGATTGAGTATTTAGAGGCAACATCCATGCTCGCATGATTCTATTGTTGAAAGTCACATCGTGTCGCACCTAAAGATTCTTCCAAAGTGTTCCTAAACCTCGCCTTGCAACCCGAGAATCAATGAACAAATGTGTAATGGTTTCTACCTTATGATTCAAACATCACCGACAAATTGAAGCTAATGGAATGTGAAGATCCCGAATGCAAGCATCAACCGCCAATGCACCTCTAAACCATTTCCACATAAAAATAACCACCCTAGTAGAATAAAATCCAATAGAAACCTCTTAATGTGGATTAATTTTCCTATGTGATTCTTCATTAAAATCCATAAAATGAACTTTTGAATGAGTAGGCATAGGATTCATCAATAATTTTTAGACCTCATAGATTGAAATTGATCATTTAAGCCCATTAATTGAGCGATAAATTAAAAATATAATGATTAAATATTAGTTGAGTCTTTGATGATTGATTTATTTTGTTTGGGTAAATGGGAAATTTTTTTTTTTTTTTTTTTTTGTATTTTTAAATGAGATCATTCCAAACTATTTTGTATTTATCTTGATTTTTTATATTTCTAATATTCAAAAATATAAAAAATTTCAGGATTTGCTTTTAAAAAATATATTAGATTTTTCTCAACGTATTGTAAAATTGCAGTTCAAAATAAGAGGAATTGAATTCTTTTTAGAAGATGTGATAGCTAGAAATCATAGAATGGATTTTTTTTTTTCTTAAGAAATTCGCAATGAAATGAAGTAAAGTCGAAAAGAAATTGGGCTTTTAGTTTTTGTGATTATTAAAAAGACAAGAAAATTGAGCTCATAAAGACATGTGCATAGCATCATCATGAAATTCCAATTAAAGGCGCAAAACGCGGTAATGAATAATGGCGTGAAGAGAACGTCAAGTGCTATGAAATATGAATATGAATATGAAAATGAAAATGACTTGAGAACAAATAAAAAGCACACCTACTTCAGCACCATTGAATTGAATTGAATCCATAATTATCTCATTCTTCCCTTTCATGATTTTGATCCAAGAAATCACAATCCATCCGTCCTCCTTCCATATAAAACAACCCTTCATTATCATGCCTTGTCACCTTTTTTGTTTGATAATTAGTATTAATTAATTCTCGTATTGCGTCTTATGGGCTGCCTGCCTCTCCATTAACTCGACTTCTTGTTTAGAAAAACATCATCATCATTATTATTATTATATTGTAGATAGTGTAGTATTTTTAAATCAATCAAAATTAAATTTATTATTTTTTTAAATTAATTTTTAAACTAAATCAGTATTAGAATTTGTTTATTTTTTGGTTTACAACTAAACTATCTTTTAAATCAAATCAGTTCAAACTTGATGCAATTAAAGAATAAATAAATAATAAAAATTAATTAAACATTGGCTTAGCCAAACCACAATAACCCTTTATGCTCTAGATAAAGATTCTTTATAAAGAGAACTTTTTTTGAGTAAATTATAAATTAATAATTTTAGTTTTGAAAGAAAAATAATTAGTTTTTTTTTCAAAAATTATTTGTTTAATCCTTATATTTTTAATTTTTTAACTTAATTTTCTTTGTTCTTTTCAATTTATTTTAATTTTTTGTTTTAGAAAATAGGAAAAAAAATAATAAGTAACAAATGATTGATGAGAAAAAAATAATATTTTTTAAATAAAATAATATTAAATTAAGTGTGGTCAACACTATTCAAATGACTAAATAATTAATTTTGAAAAAAACAAGATCAATTAATTTATCTTTAAAAAACCAAAAAGACTAATTTATAATTTAATCAGATTTCTTTTAACCAAGAAAAATAAGGTGGCAATTTTAATTTTATTATCTAAATTATATTTTAGAATGGATCATACGTAATCATGTTTTTTTATTATTATTTTAGTTCAGGGGAGGTTTAATTGATATTACACTATACAATAGGAACAAGAAGAATACTTTTTTATTACTTAAATTTGTGCAATTCTGTAATCAATCAAACATGCTCTGTGCACAGGGCCAAAAAGAGCACAAAGCTGCTCAGCCAAAAGAGGGAAAATAAATAAATAAATGTTCAAGAAACGAAGTCAAAAGAATAATTAGTGGGTTTCCATTAATTCATTGACAATCTTAGCTCGCAAGTAAAATCAGTCGAGTGGCATTCTCGTAATTAACCCCTAAAAGCAACACCATTTTCCTAGCAACTATCACTTATAAGTTAACAACCACATAAACACCCTCACTTCTGAGCACACTTTTTATTCACCTTCTTCTCGTCATTCTCATTACTCAACGATGAGGACCTCAAAATTCTATGTTTTCCTCCTGATTTCTGCAATCCTGTCTGTCCACGTGTTTCCATCATCATCTTCGTCGTCATCGACAGCCCTTGATTTTCTCCCCTTGGAGTCTTCGTCGCCATCTGAGTGCCAGGGATCCATTGCTGAGTGCTTGATGGATGAGGAGTTCGAGATGGACACAGAGAGCAACAGGCGCATTCTAGCAACTAGAAGGTACGTAAGTTATGGTGCGCTGAGGAGGAACAATGTACCTTGTTCGAGGCGTGGCGCCTCGTATTATAATTGTCGAGCCGGAGCTCAGGCTAATCCTTACTCGCGCGGGTGTAGTCGCATTACTCGCTGCAGGGGTTAATAAAATATGAAATGAAAATAACGATAATAGTAACAATTTTTTGTAATTTTATATTTCGTTGTTTTTAGTATTTTTTTCCCTTCCTTCCTTTTAAATGTATTTTGGGTGTTTATGATATATGGGATTTGGCTTGATTGTTGATTGTATGTAGTATAAACATATTAATAAGAAAGGTGTGGAATAAAAATGAAAATTCAAATATATAGGATGAGCATTTTTGGCGATTTAAAATGATGTACTAAATCTTACCCCCCCCCCCCCCCCCCCCCCAATATATATATATATATATATATATTGATGTATTTGACAACAATATATTGACATAAATGCTATTTCTTTGTTTCTCTCTATTTTTCTTGGATCTAAACTTCTAATGGTTTTTAATTGCGGAAAAATTGAAGCATAACCGTACTTACAAGTGTAGTAATTCATATCTATACATGGCTGGGTTATAATAGCAAGGTAATAATGTTTGGTAAAACATAATAAAAATAAATTATAAGGTAATGTAGTGCAAAAAGGAAATGATGGCTCATTTATTTTCTAGATGGGTCTTTTACAAAATCCATAACCATTTTAGCGGTTCCTATACAAAATGGCTAATCTTCGTCAATATGATATTGAGATGGAGCTTTTCCAAACAACAAATATTGCCCCATAACTTGTTTCTTTTTGGTTTATGAATTAACTTAGTTTGCATGCAAATTAATGCAATTCGACGATAGAAGAATGAAACTAAGTTATAAAATGAAAGGATGACATATTGAAGTTCAACTACAAGGAACGGAAAAGAGCAACCAGCGCTATTTTGTTCTAAAAAGTTATTGTTAGCATCTCTTTTATTTCTGTATAATTTTGACCATTCATTTCCCGGGCCTTTCAGCTTTAAGGCAAAATATTTAGGCACAAAATCTACTAACGAATGATAATAAAAATCCACTTATAGGATTTTTAAGATATATTGGAAAAAATTCAGTAACCGATTGATTCAGATGGATAGCCATCGAGCGGCGTATAATTGTCATACCGAAACAGATTGTAACTGAAAGGAACGCGAAAGGAAGCGTCTAGAGCATAAGTCCAGCTATGAATCAAAAAGGCTCATACACGGACAGGAATGCGAAAGGAAACTTCACACTTTGTGAGCTGTACCTACGTACACTGGATGGGTGGCCCAGCTTACTGGCAAGGTTTTACTTCGGACTTTCATCAAAAAGGCTCATCCACGTCTAAACTCTAGATTGCCAACAAATACGGATCTCTAAGACAGTTTGGAGGGAAGGAAAAAAAAAAAAAAAAAAAAAAGAGCCTTTTTGACAGAAAATTTTATCCGCAAGAATCTTATTCTTTTCCTCCATGAAAGCAATGCAAACAATGACAGATTATGCGAACGGCACCTCGTTACAATAGCATCTCCAGCTTATTGGAGAACCTTATAGTCATAAGCATTCTTGGTGAGCAAATTTGGACCACCACGATGGAGGACCAGAACTTCACCCTTTCATTTCCAAAAATTCACGTATGTCATGCCGCCCCTTGCTTTTTCATAATCAAAATGCTACCGTAGGTGCTGAGATGAGGATGACAATACAGATCCCAAGACTTTCACAAACACACAAAGACAAATTAAATTCTCAAACCCATAAGCACTCATAGCATACCAGAAATTTCAGCATTAATACTCCCGCTTCCTTCCCCACTCACAAAAAAATAAAATAAAAAATAAAAATAAAGAAAAAATAATAGTAAGACAACAAGCTATTGGATGCTATCTACATAAGTTTCATAAAAAGGAAAAAAAAAAAAAAAAAAACAACAACATAAGGCATTGAAGTATATATTCCATGAACTCATAGCTTTCAAAGATGATGTAATGAACTTATGCAGAATCGTTGCCTGACTTGGATTCTTCCTTAACCTTGGGAGGCACAGAAGGAGAAGGAGAACCCTCGACCCCCATCTCAACCCTGAGATCATTGATGCTCTGCTCCAACTCATCTATCCTGTTGCCCATTTCATCGAGTGCATTGCAGTCAAGGAAACCAGTGCTTGGTCACATTTGCATCACATCCACATTAAGCAATACACACTAACCATTACCAATTATATCCCACAAGAGTGAAATTCTTCCATTTTGTCTTCCCTAGTATTTGAGACAAAGTCCACAATTCGAAAAGAAAAATTCAAAACTCTTGTAGTTTAAAAGAGTGAAAACAACCTTAAACATTCTATCAAAAAAAAAAAAAAAAAACAATTAAAATTTTGATTTCAACATCACAATTATAACCTTACCAAACGAAGATTTTAGGCGACTGTCCCAGATGGAAACAGCTAGAGCAGATTTTGAATCATATAACTCTGATGATATGCAATTGAGATTGCAAATTATCCAAAGTAGACTAGATTGACTAACTGAAATATCATGTGGGCTTCTCACAAATGCCATAAAGTACCGACAAAATTATTCCACCTCACAAAGATGTAAACTTATCCCGTTAATAAGTCTCAAGCTACTCAAATAATAAGGAACTGTCCTTCATCATACTAACACCCTATGCATTCAGCTAATAAAATAAGAAAAAGGATATTCTTTGTAATGATGGAATCAGACATTGTCTGGAACCTGGATTGCTGCAAAAAGCAAGGATAACCAACTTATGTATCTTCCCTTAGATTTGCTAATGTCAAATATAACTCATTGCAGAATTAGAAAATAAGATACTCACCATCTGCTGAAGCAAATTTTGCACCTGCAGCAAAAAGAAGGGGAAAAAAAGGCAATACAAAAGATCAGCTAAAGCTGTTACTTTCAACCACTTGCCACAGATAGTCATGGCACAAATTTTCACTGAAATAATACCAACTGAAAGGCACTTATGGTAGTAAGCCTAACTGTCACTAACTAAACTAAATGCAGTTCAAAAATCCAAATAATGTAAAAAGAAGGAAGCCTCAAATTAAAACCATCAACAGCAACAACCCACGGTTCGACATATCTCCATAGCATAACAGCCCATGATACAAGAATAAATACGCGAAAAAATTTTGATCACATGTTTACCAAGTCATACAGAAACATGGATTTTCATGGCCCATTTGCTCAAGAATCACTCTTATGGAAACACAGAAATACTGATAAATATATTCAACCTAAACTGCATGGATTAAATAAAACTTCTTTCAAAATGTGTTGTATAGCTTACAAAAGCAGTCATATCAGCAGTGCTCTTTTTCGCATCATCAGCATCATGCCCATCCTGCCAAACAACAAAAAATTCAGTCATAGATGAAATAATTCAACATAACAAACCGTTACCAAGATTTGCTAATTTGTCATTGCAACAATAGACCGCAATATTCTCTACAAATCCGATGCTTACCATAAAAATAAAAATAAAAAAATCAGCCACTCAATGAATCTACAAAATTGTTCATCACTCAATTTCCTTTCGAGTAATCTTTAATGTATCAATACATTATTCAAACCATACCTAATCTATAACTACAGAAACCCTAATGGAGTAAAATACGAAAAGGGAAGAAATTATTGAGATTTCAGATTCAGAAAGATTTACCATTTTTTGCTAGCGTTCTTCTTTTGTGCCCTTTCGAAAGTTGGATCAACAGAACCTAGCGGAGAGTCGGAGACTGGGAAATGAAATTATGGAGAGGTAAAGCGAGAGGAACGCGAAAAGAAGCGTGAGGGAGAGTATAGTTACAAATTTGTCCTTGTAATTTGGATTGAAGATTATGAGTTAAGCGCGGTAATTAAGAAGGGATAAGGGCATAATTGGTATATTGGAATTAATGAGGAATTGAAATAGCAATTTTTGTGTTTGGAAGCGACCTGATTTAAAATCCTAGCCTCTTAGGAATTTTATATTCGATGCAATCTGATTTAAAAATATTCCAGGTCGAACCAAAACGGTGTGATTTGACATTTTTGAAATAATTTTTTTTTAAAGTAAAATTAATCATTTTTTATAGGATGAAGAAAATCGAAAATATTACCAAGATCCTTGTATTAACTAATAAGGAAATTGTGGATGGTTTTAGCATATTTTTTTAATAAAATTATCAGTGCCTGGAGCATCCCTCTAAATGGTTTTATTTAAGTTTAAATGAAATTAATGTAGATCTGGTTTACCAACATTTATGTATGATGGAAAAAAAAAAGAAGAAGAAGAAGATTTCATGCTAAAATGTTCAAGAAGTATCACCACAACGTTGGAAAACTATTTATTAAATTTTAAATGGCAGTATTTAAGTTGGAGAAATTTTATATTTTTTAGGAGTAATTAACAGTACTTAATTCATAAAATGGAAATGATAAGAGTAGTTCTCAATCAATACAAGAAATGATGTGCAAATTGACACACACTATAGTACACATTAAAAATGAAGGAAGCGAAGGTGATTCTAAAATTAGAGTGGATTACTGGTCTCGTTTCTGATTCTCTTAACCCTCCAACTAGCCAAAGATTTGTGAGCAAACCCATAAAAGTCCAAAATTTGATCATCTCCAAAATTAAAAGCACGATCCATCTGCTTCAAGCACCTCTCCACAGGATAATCCCCTGATTTTCCACAAGGCTTACATCCCACAAAGTGAGTAACAAGAGGCCAACGATGATCACCAAGACCCGGATGGTATTTCTCTATCATTTCCTCATACCTATCAACCAAAATCCCCCAATACCCATGCAAATAATAAGCATTCTCTAAGTACACCTTATCCCCCCACTTCTCCCTTTCTGTAGCCAATAAATAAACCATTGCAGACTGATCATCAGCTTCGAAAACAGGCCTACCTTTCAGCTCCTTGGCTAGTAACTCTCCTGCTTCGTCCCTAATCTTCCCTTTAGGCCCCATTGGTGCCCATGCATCTAAAAGATCCAATGACCATTGACAATTCCTTATAAAGAAACTCCCCGTGTTCAGTCCAATCCAATTCTTTTGATCGTAAACCATCTCCTTCCATCCGTGCATCACAAGATTATGATCCTTGTACTTCTCCCACGGCACCTCAAATGCCATATCTGTAAACATTGCATCGCTATCCATCCACCACAACATTTCTATCTCAGGCTGCGAAACCAACAGCTTCCTTATTAACGGCAGCTTAGCCCAAAACCCAGTCATTTCGGCATCAAGCAGGGCCATGTTGTAAAATATGTCAATTCCGTGAAGCCTGCAGTAATCGATCTTATTTTTAATCGATTTTAGTAAGTAATGATCGCCGATACGATTCTCGCAAGGTTGCGGTGAAGATCCTGTAACTAGCAGAACTCTCAGCTTGTTAGGCCCTACTAAGTTAAGAAAATTCGGGTTTTCACTTAGCCATTTAGCTCGCTTCTGATCCCAGTCTGAAATCTTCGGCCCTAAACTGTATGGATTATCTGAACCTGGATTCTCTTCGTCTTCGCCTTCATCTACCAATAGTTTGTTAATGTCAAATAAGGCATAGCTATTTGCATTGTCATTTTGTATATTGCTGTCACTGCTGTTATTTTTTTCAGTCGATTCAACGACGACTTTGTGTGACTCGGCGCGCTTGCGAGAGGAGTAGAAGTTGCTGCGGAGGTTGTTGAAGTGTTGTTCCTGAGTGCCAAACTTTCCAGCGCCAATTGTGCCAAGTAGGATGATGGCGGTCACGAAGAGGCAAAGGAGGGTGACCTTGGCATGGCAAAACCGATGGACCTGATAATTCCCCTCCAGCATCTTTAGCTCGAGCGAGCTATATGTTAGCCAACTGCAAATTAAGCTTTTTGTATCTGGGAATTTTTTTTGAGGATATGAAGATTGAAGATCGTTGAGTTATTGGTTTGAAGAGAGGTCGTCGGTGGAGAGGCTGAATAAGGAGGTAGGGGAGGTGGGATGTGAAGAAAGATGCAGTGAGAGAGAAAAGAAACAATTGAACACATTTCAGTTGATTTTTCTTCATTATTTTATGCATTTCTTTAGTACTAAACATTTGTTTTGCTGGATTCTTGTATGCATCCACGTTCAGGGAATCATCTGACGTTTATGAGATGGTTTATTGTGTTTATGTATGGGGATTCTCATGCTTCATCTTGACCAAATCAACCATACAAGTGGCCGCGGTTTGGGGACAAAGTTTTCGTTAACATCTAAGCTATAGTTCAAATATAAAACCAATTTTTAATGTTTTCAAAGTCTCCAATTGGCATGTCTTGCAACCAAGACCAGAAGCAATTCAATTTTTTATTTGTTTTGGCTGGCAGCAAGTTGAACTTGGATGCGAAAGCGTGCAGAGATTGAGATCTTAAAGACTGCATTTAAAATATCTAATAAAGATGGCAGGGAGATAACTTTCTCAAAGTAAATCAAAAGATGGTTGAATGAAGCTCGGATTTGAAAAGTAAGAATTCTTCTTCTTCTTTTTACGAGTGATGGCTTCTTTATCAAAAAGGACCAAACTACAGATAGACAGATTATTACAAAAGAAATTAAATTAGATGATGGTTTTTCTATTTCAGCACTGTTTGCATGCATCCATTGATACTGTGGACTCAACCCTCATTCACTCTTCTCCTCTCTTTCTATCCTTTCAGCCGTTCGTCCATCATTTGCTCTGTCTCTGCCGTTCATTTCCTCTCCTCCTTTCATCTTTATTAACAATTAACAAAAAAAAAAAAAAAAAAAACCAAAACAAAACCATCAAATACTATTTGTTTCCCTGTTCAACGTGACTCAATGGTATTGTGGATTAACTGTTCACGTTTTAGGTTTTTTTTATGCTTTCCTTCTTCATGGGCCAAGCACACTCTCTTTCACTTTTTGTTTTACGTGTTTTTGTATTTATTTAATCTCGATAATGCCATTAAATGAGTTGTAAAATTACCTTCTTGGTCGTTGCTTCATTTCTTTACTCCACTATCTCTATTAGGGGTGATCATTCGATTAAATGATTCGGTTAAACTTAATTCGGTTTGATTTTCGATTAATCGAATTAGGAAAAATAAAAATCGAAACCGAACCAAAATTAATTCGGTTTGAAACCGAATTATTTCGGTTCGGTTTTGAAATAATTCGGTTTAACCAAACTTTTAGGTTACTCTCTTCAAGATGAATGGAAAGGTGAAATTATTTAATGCGGGAACAAATTGTTTTTCACATGCTAAAACTTGCAAGAAGCGAAAAAAGTTACATCAAGCATCTCGTAATGGCTTGCTTCAACATGTCAAGTTTACATAATGAAATGACTTGGCAATATGCATTACATATTAGCTTGCAGTGTTACGGTGTACCCAAAAATAGAGAAAGACATTGCTACAGATGTATCGTAAAATATTGTTGTTGCAAGGCTAAATGATTTCTATTGACTTAGCAACAATGTTACAATGTACTCAAACAAAGAGATCTGCTAAGTTAGCGTGCTCTAGTGGGACTTGGAAGATGTTTGCACTTTGCAACATGCTAAATGATTTCTACTTCTAAAATTCTCTACTTTTGGTCAAATAGCAAGCATACATATTAGCTTGCAAGTGTTACGATGTACCCAAAAATACTTTGAAATGCTTATAACCCTTCAACAAACAATCAAATTATTTGAAAAAAGATGAAAAAATAAATTTGACTACATAATGTCTAGCAATCTTGATGTCAAACCATATGGAAAGCAAAGTATATATAACAACATTTAATATGAATCATCATCCACCATGTTTCGGAGTTCAAGCCATTCAACCAAAAAACATCAAAGGCACCATATCAAAAGGCTTTAAGATGGAAATAAACAAGACCTCATGTCCCAAAAAGATATCCACATCACAAAGGAGTTCCAATAATCCACAACTAAATATGTATATGCTCAAGTCAACAGCTAAAGAAAGGCAACAGCTTCCCTAGAAACCGGAGAAAGATGCAACTATAGCTCTAATGATTAGGGATCCAAGCAGAGGCATATAATCCACATGAATTGAAAGAACACAGGGATGGAGCTAATGCTTCTTCATTTGCTCCACCATTTGTAGACTGAGTCCAGGTGCAAATCCTGCTATCATATGAATAAAGCAAAATGATGAACGGTATAGATCCGATTTGCAAACAAATCATTGTAGTTTAAAAAAATAGCAAAATCATATGGCTAAAAGACTCATTACAAAAAACTTATATGGATGCACAGAGAACTCATTAGAGATTTTGAGTTTAGGCAATAATCACCCCCGACCTCACTCGCCAAATTGGACCCAACTCAATCGGTCCCTAGTAGGCTATGCTACATTGCTACTAATTGCATAATTTGCATTACCTATCCCCTCCCGGACTCCTACCCCCACCCCCCAAATCATGCATTTTTCTTTTCTTAATCTGTGCTGAAAATTAAATCAATGATAATATGACAAAATAAAAAATATAGTTCATATCACCACAACATAACTAAGCACTTGTATATTTTCAAAACAATATCTAAAAATAGTCATTACAAAGCATCACTCAATTGAATTCAAAATTTCATAACACAAACAATCGACCAATACATTATTGTTACCAGTAAAATAAAAAAAATAATAAAAGAGACCGACCTTGGGACGACTCGCGAGAAGAGAAAGACAGGAAGAGTAGTCGAGGCAGCTCGAGTAGGAGGAGAAGGATAGTGATTGATGAGGATGACCGTGACTCCGTGAGATTGAAGGAGGATGACGAGGGTTACCGGGTTGTGAGTTGCGACTACCGGCTTCAAGTGCGAGTGAAGAAGAAGGGAATGAAGTCGAAGAAGATTAGGAGAGAAGACGAAGGAGAACTAGTGGATAGTGGTAGTGAGACGATGAGATGATTTGATCGACGATGATCGTGATTCACGTGAGTCATTGAAGGTGTTAAGAAAGTGAGAAAGTCGAAAGAGAGCGTGAGAGAAAGAAAAGATTGAAAGTAGTGAACCGAAGTTAAGGTTAGGGTTTTTAATTTTTAATGTTCATTTCGGTTTTCGATTCAAACCGATTTTTTTTCAAAAATAGAACCAAACCGAAATAATTTTGGTTTTTTTGTTTGGTTTTAAATTGTATAATTTTAAATTCAAAACCGAACCAAATACCTTAATACGGTTCGGTTTTATTCGATTTTCGATTAACCGAATCGTTTGCTTACCTCTACCCTCATGCTCTATTTTCATCTTTTCTCCTCTTTGACTAGATCATTAATTGGGTGGGTTTGTCCAATTACCTTCGAAACCCTTACTTCGTTTTTTTAACTTTAGTCAATTGATGCCCTCTTTCGTCTTTTTCTCTCTTTTTTTACTAGACCATTAAATGATGTTGTCTAATCTTATATATATATATATATATATATATATATATATATATATATATATATATATATATATCATTGCTCGTCTTTTGTGCGTCCAGTTTATTTTCATATTTTCTTCAATTACCATTTTGTTTTTTTTTCCCAAACATCATTTCATTCTCTTTCCAAATTGGTTGTTGAATCAGCTCATTTTGTTATGTTTATCAATAGAAGTTGGCTTCATTTCGTTAGTTTTTCAAAAAAATTTGATTGGTTTTGAATAGAATCAATTTCTTTGTCACCAAATCATGAGCTAGCATTGATCTTTTAGTCTTTGTCACATCTTTGGTTGTGGTGCTATTTGGTTATTATGGATAAAAATCTAGATTTTTTATTTCTTTTATTGTTTATGCTTTATTATTCCCCATCATTTGATTGTTTCTAGCTTCTCGTATCCGTTTGATTGTTTTATGGACTTTTGGGACATTTCATTTGGATATATATATATATATATATAATTATTGTTCTCTCTCTTCCTACCCTCCTCCATTTTTTCCTTCTTAGTTTCTTCACACATTCTCTATATAGGACTTGTATTTTTTTTTCTTTGATCCTTCTTGATTAATATCTTTTTTTGTTTCTTCTTATTTGTTCTTTCCTTGACAGATTTGAAATGTAGCCCAAGCAAATCAAAAGAAAACAAATATATAGAGATAAAAGGTGACAAGTGTAGGCCAAATCGTCTTTACTAAAGGAGAATGACCAAGGAGAATGACCTCGTAACAAGATCCATTGGACATTGGTACACTATTGTTGGCCCTTTTCTCAGCGAACCTCGAGCTCCCTTGTCATTGATAATTATGGTTTTCAACCAAACACCTGTTTGGATCGATTTTTTTTTTTTGTTTCAAGTTTGTTTGTTTTGATTTTTTTTAAAATCATGTTTGGTTGTCAAAAATATGCCTTTCATGTTCTTTTTGTTTTGATTTTTTTTTTGAATTGTTTGATTCTCTATTTACTAATTTTTGTAGTTCATGTTTGTCAAATCATTTTTTTTATTTTGGAATTCATATTGTTCCGAATTTTCCTAAATCAATTTTTTTTAGTTTTTGTCATTGTTTTCGTAGTTTGCTTGGTTGCTCGAGAAACATAGATTTAGTAAAAATAGTTTAATCTTGAATTTTACTCATACATTCAAGTATCAATTTAGTACGAAGATTATTGCAATTGAGTTTTACATATGAAGTCTCTTTCAATTCAAAAAGTTTTTTATTTTTTTAGAGATACAAAGGAGGAAATATTTTAGTTGTTATTGGTAATAACTCATATGAAAGATTGAAAACCCCTATTTTTGCATTTTTTTAGCAAATTTTTTTTATATGGTATGATTAACTTATAAGAATTAGTAAGTGTGCACATCTTCTTATCCTTTCTTGAAACTAGTTTTGCCACTTTCAATCAATAATTTA